CTGGGGGTGATTGGGGGTGCCCTGGGGGGCTGGGGCTGCCGGGGGTGCCCTGGGGGTGATTGGGGGTGCCCTGGGGGGCTGGGGCTGCCGGGGGTGCCCCTGGTTCTCACTCGCCCGCTCTCCCCCCAGGAGATCTCGTACTTCTTCCTGGAGCCGTTCCGCGCGGGGCCCTGCCCCTCCTACCCCTCCTGCCTGGCCTGCCTGGCCGACCAGGGCTGCGGCTGGTGCCCGCTCAGCGCCAGCTGCCACGCCCGGCTGGAGGGGCCGGGGGGCGGGGGGCCGTGCGGGGGGGGGCTCCGTGCGCCTCGTCCTCTCGCCCAGCAACTGCTTCCTGTGCGAGGAGTACCGGGACTGCCACGCCTGCAGCGCGGTGAGACGGGCACCGGGGCGGGGTGTGTGTGTGTGAGATGTTCCCCAGGTTACGACGTGACGGCTGAACCGCGGCGCCCCCGACTCTGTGCCCGGGAACAGCGCCCCCTCCAGGCCGTGCCCCCCGCGCTCCGCCCGCCGCTCGGCTCCCCCCGGCCAGCGCAAAGTACGAGGAAGGTTCCCCGGCGATTACAAACCGGGATCTTGTCCCCAGACTCACCCAGCGGGTGACTCCTCCGGCCCCCAGGCCTCCCGCAGCCCCAGGGGGGGAACCTGGCCAGCCCCAACCAGGGACTCCCCCAGCGGCCGTGGGCCGGACGACCCGTCGGGGGGTCTAGAGACCAGCATCACGCACCGCATGGGTACGCCCATGCTAACAGGACAACGATGTTCAGCACATTATGAGTTTCCAAGTGATCCCTCCCCAGGCAGGTGTAGTGCAGAACATGGCATGGCCGTGTGACAGTGGTGAACAAGGGGTTCTGGGGGGCGCTGGCTCTGCAGGAAGGGTCTCTGACACCCCCCCCGGTGCCCCCTCAGGACCCGTTCTGCGAGTGGCAGGTGAACAGTAGCAAGAAGGGGGATCTGCTGTGTAGCCGACGGGGCCGGCAGCCCCACGCCGTCCGTGCCCCCCACGCCTGCCCCGCGCTGTGCCACCAGTGAGTCCTGGGGGGGGCAGGGTGCCGGGGGGGGTCAGTGAGTGGGCAGGGTGCCGGGGAGGCAGGACCTGGGGAGTCAGTGTGTGGGCAGGATACCGGGGGAGTCGATGCTGGGGGAGGCAGGACCTGGGGGGTCAGTGAGTGGGCAGGGTGCTGGGGGGTGCCAGTGTATGGGCAGGGTGCGGGGCGGGGGGGGGGCGGGGGGGGGGGCAGGACCTGGGGGGTCAGTGTGTGGGCAGGGTGCTGGGGCCACGTGGGTGCTGCCTGGGGGGGCAGCAGGGGGGCTCTGGGAAGCAGTAACCCCCCCTCTCTCCCCAGGCGGAGCACGTGTGCCGAGTGTCTGTCCAACTCCAGCCAGTGCGCCTGGTGCCAGTCCACCCACAGCTGCTTCTTCTTCGCCGCCTACCTGGCCAAGTACCCGTACGGGGACTGCCGGGGCTGGTACGACAGGTGAGGGGCGCGGGGACCCCGGGTTCTCTCCAGCTCTGGGAGGGGGGGGGTGGGCTGGGAACCAGGACTCCTGAGTTCTCTCCCGGCTCTGGGAGGGGGTGGGGCTGAGCTGGGGCTGACTCGTCTGTCTCCTGCCCCCAGCGTCCATTCGGTGCCCCAGTGCCTGGACTGCGCCCGGTTCAACACGTGCCGGGACTGTCTGCAGCACTTCGAGTGCGGCTGGTGCGGGAACACGGACAACCCCACGCTGGGCAGGTAATAGGCTGGGGGGCGGGGCGTTCCCTCTAGGGGGCGCCGGCTCCCACCCGGCCCCAGGGCAGGGACTGGCTGTCTCAGGGGGGCGGGGAATGGGGCAGGGGCCTGTCCCCTCTAGGGGCGCCGGCTCCCACCCGGCCCCAGGGCAGGGACTGGCTGGCTCAGGGGGGTGGGGAATGGGGCATGGGGCCTGTCCCCTCTAGGGGGCGCCGGCTCCCACCCGGCCCCAGGGCAGGGATTGGCTGGCTCAGGGGGGCGGGGAATGGGGCAGGGGCCTGTCCCCTCTAGGGGGCGCCAGCTCCCACCCGGCCTCAGGACAGGGACTGGCTGGCTCGGTGTGTGAGGTGGGGGGGTTGCTGCCCAGCTCTGCCGTGACCCCCCTTCTCCTCCCCCCCGCCCCAGGTGCCTGCAGGGTGATTTCTCCGGCGTGGGCGGCTTCCCCAACTGCTCGGTGGCGCTGTGGGAGAGCCACGGGCTGCCCCCCGCCCAGCCGGCCGCCTGGTCCTACGGGCAGTGCCCCGACGTGGACGAGTGCCGGCTGGGCCTGGCTCACTGCCACCCCTTCGCCCGCTGCCACAACACGCCTGAGGCCTACGAGTGCCACTGCCAGCGCGGCTACGCCGGCGACGGCGCCATCCACTGCAACCAGACGTGAGGCCAGGGAAAGGGGGGCTGGGGAGGGGGCGGTGCAGGGCTCAGCGGGGCTGGGATTCAGGGGGGTTGGGATTTGGGGGGGAAGGGGGCGGTGCAGGGTTGGGGGGGTTGGGATTCGGGGGATCTGGGGAGGGGACGGTGCAGGGCTGGGGGGGGTGTTGGGATTCGGGGGGCTGGGAAGGAGGTGGTGCAGGGCTGGGGGGGTCTGGGGAGGGGGTGGCACAAGGCTCGGGGGGGCTGGGGAGGGGGCGGTGCAGGTCTGGGGGGTTGGGAATCGGGGGGGCTGGGGTGGCGCCGGCTGCCCCGCTCCATCCCCCACCCCGGCGTCTCCCCAGGTGCTACGAGGAGTGCGGGCACGGCTGGTGCAGTGGCCCCCCTGGCTACGTGTGCGAGTGCGAGCTGGGCTGGACGTCGGAGCCGGGCGCCGGGGGCAACGGCAGTGCGGGGGGGGCCCGGTGCAGCGTGGACTGCGGCTGCCACTTCCACAGCAGCTGCGAGGCCGGGGGGCCCGGGGTGTGCGATGAGTGCCAGGGTGAGTCCCCCACGGGCCCCCACATCACCCCCTTGCGCCTCCTGGGGCCCCTGCACTCCCCCCCCCGTGCAGCGGCCTCTGCAGCCCCCACGGCCCCCTCCTCCTGCTCGGGCCCTGCACTCCCCCTACGCCCCTTCCACATCCCCAACTCTCCCCCCCGCTCACTCTGCCCCCTCTCCACAGACTGGACCCACGGCGAGCACTGCCACCTCTGCCGGCCCGGCAGCTTCGGTGACGCCACGAACCCGGGCGGGTGCCAGGCGTGTGAGTGCAACGGGCACGGCCTGCCCGAGCGGGGCCACTGCCACGGGGCCACGGGGGCCTGCTACTGCGCCCCCCCCGCCGAGGGGCCCCACTGCGAGCGCTGTGCCCCCGGGTTCTACGGGGACCCCAGGTGAGACCCCACCCCTGAAATCCCTGCATTCCTCCTGGCCCCCAGAGACCCCCTGTCCTGGGGTCCCAGGCTGGGGGCTCTGGCAGGGCTCTGGGGCAGTGTCTCCGCTCAGGGTTCCCACCGGGGCCAGGAGCCTGCTCGGCTTCGGGGCCTCCTGGGTCGAACCTCGGAGAGTTCAGCCCCCGGGCTGGGACCCCTGGGGAGCCTCATACCCCCCAAAGAGCCCCCCCCCCCCCCCGCAGCCAGCAGCGACTCCCAGCCAGCGAGTGACCCCGGTGGGTTATTAGTCGTGGGGACCCAGCGTAGAACAGAGCTTGTGGGACCAGGGACCTGCAGCAAAGTCCGTCGGGGGGGGGGGCGGGAATCCAGAGCCCTGGGCTCTCCCCGAGTCCCAAACCAGGAGACTGACCCGCTTCCAGTGGCCCAGCCCCTGGTGACCTGGTCTCTGTTCTCCCCCACCTTGGGGGGAGCTGGGGGCCATCAGTGTCAGCCGGTCTCTGCAGCCCGTGGGCATCACACCTGCCCTCTAGGGGTCTCTGCGACCATCGCACACCCCGATCCCCCCACCCCTGTGTGGGGCCCCCCCCAGCGCTGACGCTCTCTCTCCCTCAGGAACATGGGCACCTGCTACCGGGCGTGCGAGGGGCGCTCGCTGCTGGCCAACCTCTCGGGTTCGGGGTCCCTGGGCTCCCGGCGGGCAGGGGGGGGTGCCCGGGGACCTGGCCCACTGCCTGTGGGTGCTGTCGGCCTCGCCCGGCCTGGAGCCCTGCCCCCCTGCCCAGCCCTGCCCCGCCATCAGCCTGACCCTGCAGCCCGACCTCAGCACCCACTGCATGGTGAGTGGGGCTGGCTGGGGGGCGTTGGGGGGAGCAGGGTCCGTGCTGGATGCCGTGGGGAGGCAGCGCTGGGGGGTGGAGCAGGGTCTGACCATGGGGGGCAGAGTGGGGTCCAGGCTGGGTGCTATGGGGGGTTCTCGGGGGGTACCAGGCTCCGGGTCCTGTGGTGGCAGCTGTTATGCGGGGAGCAGGGCCCGGCTGGGTGGGGTGCTGGGGGGGAGCAGGGCCCGGGCCGGGTGCCAGGGGGGGCGGGGGAGGAGCAGGGCCTGGCGGGGGGAGCAGGGCCCGGGCCGGGTGCTGGGGGGTGAGCAGAGCCCGGGCCGGGTGCCAGGGGTGCCGGGGGGGGAGCAGGGCCCGGGGCGGGGGGAGGAGCAGCCAGGCCAGGGGTCCCATCTCCGCCTGCCCCCCAGCACAGTTACGCCTACGCCTTCGACGGGCTGCCGGCCTTCCTGGACAGCGGGGAGATCCAGGCCGACCGGACCCTCATCGGCGCCTTCTGCGGGCAGGGCCGCGCCCAGCCCCTCACCGTGGAGGCCGCGTCAGGTGGGTGCTGCCAGCGGGGGGGGCTCGGGCCCCCTGGGGTCCTGGGCATGGCACGGGGTTGGGGGTGTCCCGGGGTCCCAGGCTGGGGGCTCTGGCACGGCTCCGGGTGAAGCCAGGCAGGGCTCTGGGGCAGCGTCTCCCCACAGGGCACCTGTCACCAGGGCCAGGAGCCTGCTCGGCTTCGGGGGCTCCTGGGTCCGACCTCAGAGCGTTCGGCCCCCTGCTCACCCCGGGCCCCCCCACAGCGAGTCCCCCTGCTCACCCCGGGGCCCCCCACAGCGAGTCCCCCTGCTCACCCCGGGGCCCCCCCGCAGCGAGTCCCTCTGGACGGGGCCCTGGGGAGCCTCATGTGCCCCCAAAGGGCCCTGCCCCCCGGCAGCGACTCCCAGGCAGCGAGTGACCCCGACGTGGGGACCCAGCGTAGAACAGAGCTTGTGAGACCAGGGGCCTGCAGCAAAGTCCCCGACTGACCAGTTCCCCCAGCCCAGCCCCCCCCCCCCCCCCCCCCCCCCCCGCCCTTGTCCCCCCCCCGGGCCCCCCGGGCCCCCCGGCCCCCCCCCCCCCCCCCCGGCTGGCTCTGCAGGGGACGGGACGGGGCGTAGCCACAGGTGGGCCTGTGTGGGCCGCGACCCACCCATTAGCAGCCAGCCCCATCCCATAGCCCGGCTCTGCTCCAGCCCCTGCCCCGCTCCGGCACCTGCCAGCCCCCGCGCCCCGACCCGCTCCGCACACCCCGCGCTCCTGCACCCATTTTCCCGGGGGCCCCCAACTGGCCGGGGCCCCTGGCCATGGGCTCTGTTGGTCCAGGGGCTAATCCGCCCGCGGGAGGAGGGCAGGTGAGTGATTTGGCGGCACCAGAGGATCCTCAGGAGAGGTCGGGCTGCTGCCTCGGGGAGCCAGGCCTGCGTGGGGCGGGGACGGGTGTGAGAGCCACTGGGACAAGCTCCGGCCATCAGGAGCCAGGCTACAGGGTGTCGGCCAGTCTCTGTGCCCAGGCAGCCAGTCGCGGCCACACCTGCCCTCCGGGGGTCGCTGCACCGATCAACCCCCTGATCCCCCCGCCTAGGGACTGGAGTAACAGGGGAAACTGAGGCACACACAGTATTCAGAGAAAACGTTGAGAACTCCATCACGGGGGGGCCACACCGACACTCCTGGTTCCCGGCTGGGACAGGGAGGACTGGGTGGGCACAGAGACACCCCCCCCACACCTCCTCTGGCCGTGCACAGGTGGGGGGCACCGGCCCCCCCTACCCCCCTGTCCCCCCCCCCCCCCCCCCCAGGGCTGCTGGTTCTGTACTACGAGGCGAACTCCAGCGAGGCGTCAGGCTTCAACGCCACCTTCGCGGTGCATCGCTGCTGGCCCGGCTGCCGGCCCACCCAGGAGTGCCGGGATGGGCGCTGCGTGTGCCGGGGGGGCTACGCCGGGCCCCACTGCCAGCTGCGGGTCTGCCCCGGGAACTGCTCGGCCCACGCCAGCCAGGGCGTCTGCAACATGGTGCGTGACAGGGGGCAGGGGGCTGAGACCGGGGAGGGGCCTGGGACGGGAGGACTGACGGGGGGGCAGGAGTCTGAAACAGGGGAGGGGCCTGGGATGGGTGGGCACAGGGAGGGGGGTGCAATGGAGAGTGACGGGGGCATGAAGGGGGAAGGCTGGGGGGTTCCGCTGTGGGACTGGACCAGGGCGAGTGCTGGGGGTCCACAGTGGGGCCGGAGTCCAGGGCTGGGCCCAGGGCTGGGCCGAGGCACGTGGGGGGAGGAGGCGGGGTCGGTGCAGGCCCTGGGGGACAGGGTGGGGGCCGTGCCTGTCTCACCCTCCCTCCCCCCCCCCCAGAGTCTGGGTCTCTGCGTCTGTGGCGAGGGGTTCGGGGGCGCGGATTGTTCGGTGCCGCTGGACCCGGGAAAGCTCGTCTGGGAGACACTGATTGACAGTCAGCTGACGCCCGTGAGTCCCCACGCCGGGCCCCCCCCCCCCCCCCCGCCTGGGCCCCCCCTCCCCCCCATCCTGGCACTCCCTGCCCAGCACCATCCCCCCAGCCCCTGCCCTGCCTGGCATGGGCACCCACCCACTTGCATGTGCTGGGCACTGCCTCCTGCCTGGCACCGTCCCCTGCCCCACACCCAACGCTGGCTTCCCAGCCCCGATCCCCGGCCCCCTGGGCGCTGACCCTGTCTCTGCGTCTGTCCCAGGACACAGCCAGCCGGTTCCTACACCGCCTGGGCCACACCATGGTGGAGGGGCCGGAGGCCACGCTCTGGATGTTCGGGGGCCTGTCCCTGCGCCAGGGGTTGCTGGGCAACGTCTACAGGTGAGCGGGGAGCCCTTGGGCTCCGCCCCCTTCCTCAGGCTCCGCCCTTGGGACCTGCTGGGCCCCGCCCCCTTCCTCAGTCTCTGCCCTTGTGACCTGCTGGGCTCCGCCCCCTTCCTCGGGCTCCACCCCGAGCTCTGGGGGTGGGGCTGTGGGTCTCTGGCCCCCCCGGCTCCGGGGGACTCTCTCGCTCTGGGTCTCTCCCCACAGGTACTCCATCCCGGAGCGCCGCTGGACCCAGATGCTGGCGGGGACGGAGGACGGGGGGCCGGGGCCCAGCCCCCGCTACTTCCACGCCACGGCCTACGTGCCGGCGCGCCAGGCCATGGTGGTGCTGGGGGGGCTGGCGGCCGGCGGCGTCTCCAGCGACTGCTGGATGCTCAACCTCACCACGCTGCAGTGGAGGCAGGAGCAGGTACCCGCAGCCCCCTCCCCCCACAGCGACCCCTGACTCAGCGGTGACCCCATGCTGACCCCCGAACCCACGCCGACCCAGTGCCAACCCCACCCTGACCCCCAGCCCCTCGCTGACCCCGCATCGACCCCTGGCCCCACACTGCCCCCAGCCCTGGGCTCCCGCTGACTCTGCCCATGAGCGCCGGTAGCCGGATCGCCACAGCTGGGTTACCGGAGCCCAGTGACCTCTGACCCCTGTGCCCCCGACACTTCGCTCATCCACCTCGGTGCCCTGTGACCCCTCCCCCGGGGGCCCCCAACCCGCTCTGAGCTCTGCTCCCCCCCAGGACCCCCTGCTCCCGGCTGTGGCGGGGCACACGCTGACCCCCCGGCGCGGCACCTCCCTGCTGCTCATCGGCGGCTACTCCCCGGCCGACGGCTTCAACAAGCAACTGCTGGAGTACGGCGTGGAGAGCGAGCGCTGGCAGGCGGGGCCGGTGGCTGGGACCCCCCCCCCCCGGGGCAACCCCCCCCCCGGCCCCCCCCCCCCCCAGGTACCCCCCGGCGTGGAGAGCGAGCGCTGGCGGCAGCTGGGACCCCAGTGTGGGGACAGAGCAGGGTGAAGGGGGGTTCAGAAGCTGCCCCCAGGTGTGTTGTTTGGGGGCCTGACCCCCCTCTGTTGCCCCCAGGTCTGTACGGGCACTCGGCCGTGTACCACGAGGGCACAGACGCTGTCTACGTTTTCGGGGGGCAGCGTTTCCACGTGGAGACGGTGTCGGCCTCCCCCGAGCTCTACAGCCTGCACTGCCCCAGCCGGACCTGGAGCCTGCTGGCCCCCGCCCAGGGCCCCAAGGTGGGGCAGTGCCAGGGCAGGGGTGTGGGCATGGGGGGTAGGGGGTTTTGGGGTGCAGCAGGGACATGGGGGTGAGGGGCTAAAGTTGCTGGGGATGTGGTTTGGGGGTGCAGCGGGGTTGTGGGGTTTTTGGTGTGCAGTGAGGTTTTGGGGTGTGGCAAGGATGGGGTTTTGGGGTACAGTGCAGTTGTGGGGTTTTTGGGGGTGCAGGGGTTTTGGGCTACAGCAGGGATATGGGGGTGGGGGCACAGAGTTTTGGGGTGCAGTGGGGTTATGGGGCTGGGGGTGGGGTTTTGGGGTGCAGTGGGGTTATGGGGCTGGGGGTGGGGTTTTGGGGTGCAGTGGGGATGTAGGGGTGGGGTTATGGGGTGCAGCGGGGATGGGGTTATGGGGTGCAGCGGGGTTTTGGGGTGCAGCGGGGATGTGGGGCTGGGGGTGGGGTTTTGGGGTGCAGTGGGGATGTAGGGGTGGGGTTATGGGGTGCAGCGGGGATGGGGTTTTGGGGCGCAGCGGGGATGTGGGGGGAGGGCTGACCCCGCGTCTCGCTGACCCCGTGTGGTCCCCCAGCCGCTGTCTCACTTTTTCCACGCGGCGGCCGTGCTGCGGGACACCATGGTGGTGGTCGGGGGCCGCACGGAGACCCAGGACTTCACCAGCCACGTGCTGCTTTACCAGCTCAACTGCAACACCTGGATCCTGCCCAACCAGACGGGTACCGGGGGGCCGGGGGGGCAGGGAGGGAGACCCCCCCCCAGCCACACAAAGGGGGGAGGGGACCCCAGCCACACAGGCAATGGGGAGTGAGGTTCCCCCCACTGCCCCCGTTACCCATGATCCTTCACTGACCCGGTTTCTCCCCCCAGGCCGGGGTGGGCGGGGTTACCCAGGGTCCTTTGCTCTCCTCGCAGGTCAGGGTGGGCGGGGTTACCCAGGGTCCTTTGCTCTCCCC